AGGTGGTTGTCTACTCGCTGTATTATTTAAGTGACTATTATACAGATTTTTTGTAGAGAGAGAAGAAGAAATAGTATGCGAGTGGTGTTTTTTCTCTGTGTAAGAGAGAGAGTTCAGCTAGTAGAGTTAGTTCTCTTGAGGTCATTCTCTATTGATTAGAGAGATTAGTGCTTGTAATCCCATTTTCTTTAGTGGAAGAAATTTTGGAGTTTGTCCTGCAGTTTTTCCCTTCACATTGAAGGGTTTTCCACGTTAAATCTTGTGTCTCTAAGCTCTCTATATTTTTCTTATTGTATTTACATTTGTTTTCGTTGCACTTGGCTCAACATCCCTGAAATCATAATTGTGTTTTTTTTTCTTTTGCTCTGAAAGGACAGTGTTTTTTGTTGTTGTCACCCTCCTCCCCGACCCTCAAACCCTAGCCCACCCCACAGCCTCAGGGGAAGGGGGTGGTTGCTTAGGGCTAATGTGGTTTTATTTTATTTTATGTTTATAAATCTTTTTCTTATTTTTAATATTTTATTAATATTTTAAGCAAGTTAAAAAGGTAAGTCCATATATGCCACATTAGCAACTAACGAAATTGTAAAAAAATTACAAATATAGGGTACCTCATTGTTAAAATTAAAAACACGGATACAAACATGCCTTAAGAGTACAACTGCATGATACCAAACAAAAATTAACCAAAAAAATAAAGTACTTTTCAATTGAGAGGTAGAAGCAAATTATCCACAAGGCTTCACCTTTACTTAGGGCTGGGCTCGGTTTGGGTTGGTTCGGTTTTGGGCTCAACCCAACACCGAACCGTAGGCTTCAGTTTGGTTATTTTGAAAACCGAAACCAAACCATAATTAATGAAAACCGACCACTACGGTTAACCGGACTTGGTGGTTTGGTTTGGTTCGGTTTCGATTTCGATTTTTTGGCTCTTAGAGAGAGAGAGAGAGAGAGAGAGAGAGAGAGTGAGAAGAAATAAAACCGATGGAGAGGAGAAGAAGAAAAAAAAGAGAGGGAGAGATGGAGAAGAAGAAGAAGAAGAGGGAGACGGGGAGAGGGAGTGAAAACAAAAATAAGAATGACAAGACAAACAAAGAGATTAAGAGAGAAGAAAAAGAAAAGATTGAAACTATGTATTATATATCTATATATACATATATTTCTTATAATAATATTATATATAATATTTTTTAATATCTTCAGTTTGGTTTGGTTAAATCGTGGTTTTGAATATTACAAATTGTACACCGAATCATATATTTCGGTTGGTTTGGGTTCAAACCAGTGACAAAAAAAAAATTGAAAAAAACCAAACCAACCCAACCCATCGTTTGGTTTGGGCAGTTTGGCCAGGTTTCGAGTCCAAATGCCGAGCCTTACCTTTACTGGTTGCTTTCTCCACCCGTCCATGCCACCATCCACACACCCCATATAGCATCATTAAGGAGAGAAATGGGTACGGGATCAACTCCTCCCTCCCAATCTATCTAAGTCCTGTTTTTTTAGGTATTAGATTACGAATTGTTATTTGAAATCGACATAAATAGAAGTCATGAATTAGAATAATTCTAATATCCATGTATTAGAAAGTGCAAACGAAATTCAGAATCGGAACAATCCAATACCCATTCCAAATTGTTTTTTTCTTCTTAACTCTGATACTAAAAACTATCAAAACTTTTAAATTTAGCCAAACAGTATTAAGCAATCGCTGAACAAGTGATTAAAAGCCTACTCAAAAAGTCAAGTCCATCATTGCCCACAAGACCACTCTAAACTCCCAAACCAAAGAAGAACCCCGACCTCTAAATGCTTCACCCACTTCCCAAAACACCCCACCATCAACTGATCCCCAACTTCACACTCCCAAAACCCCCACAAAACCCTCTAAACCAACACAGCTTTGAACAAAACTACAGGCACATCTGCAACCTCCTCCTCTCCCTAACCCAATCAAGAGCCCTCCCAAAGGGTCTCCAACTCCATGCCCATGTCCTCAAATCAGGCTTCCAAACCATCCCTCTCATATCTCACCACCTCATCAACTTCTACTCCAAGAACCAGCTGCCCCTTCATTCCAGCCAAATTTTTGAAGAGGCCCCATATAAGTCATCCACCACTTGGAGCTCAGTCATCTCCTCCTTTGCCCAAAATGAGCTTCCGGTTCTCGCCATTGAGTACTTTCGTCGAATGCTTGGCACGCCATTACGCCCTGATAACCATATATACCCGAGCGTGACCAAGTCCTGCGCGATTTTGAATAGGCGGGATGTTGGGCAGTCTGTACATGGCTTTGCGGTGAAGACTGGGTTTGAGTTTGATGTGTTTGTGGGGAGTTCAGTGGTTGATATGTATGCTAAATGTGGAGAGATAAGAGATGCTCGGAAGATGTTTGATGATATTCCTCACAAGAATGTGGTTTCTTGGAGTGGGATGATATATGGGTATGCTCAAGTGGGCGAGGATGAGGAGGCTTTGAGACTGTTTAAACAGGCCTTGGTTCAAAATTTGGGCGTCAATGATTTCACATTTTCAAGTGTTATACGGGTTTGTGGCAACTCCACGCTTCTTGAATTGGGGAAGCAAATACATGGCTTGTGCTTCAAAACAAATTTTAATTTGTCAAGTTTTGTAGGTAGTTCTTTGGTTTCCTTGTATTCCAAGTGTGGAGTGATCGAAGGAGCTTACCAAATTTTTGATGAGATACCTGTTAAGAATCTTGGAATATGGAATGCAATGCTTATCGCATGCGCGCAGCATGTGCACACGGATAAGGCTCTTGATCTGTTTAAACAGATGGGAAGTGCTGGGATGAAGCCAAATTTCATTACGTTTTTATGTGTGCTATATGCTTGTAGCCATGCTGGGCTCGTTGAGAAGGGGCAATATTATTTTGCTCTTATGAAAGAGTACGGGATTGAGCCAGGGGAACAGCATTATGCTTCCCTGGTAGATTTGCTTGGCCGTGCTGGAAAATTGATGGAGGCAGTTAAAATTATTGAGGAAATGCCTATAGAACCAACAGAATCTATATGGGGAGCTTTATTAACGGGTTGTCGAATCCATGGTGACACTGAATTGGCAGCCTCTGTGGCTGACAGAGTCTTTGAGTTGGGTCCTGTGAGCTCTGGCCTGCATGTGCTTATGTCTAATGCTTATGCTGCGGCTGGAAGATTTGAGGAAGCAGCAAAGGCCAGGAAGATGCTAAGAGACCGAGGCATGAAAAAGGAAACTGGTTTGAGCTGGGTTGAGGAGGGAAACAAGATTCACACATTTGCGGCCGGGGACAGGAGGCACATGAGAACTAAAGAGATTTATCTGAAGTTGGAGGAGTTAGGGGAGGAAATGGAGAAAGCTGGTTATGTTGCAGACACAAGTTTTGTGCTAAGAGAAGTAAATCGAGAAGAGAAAGATCAGACTATTAGGTATCACAGTGAAAAACTAGCCGTAGCATTCGGTCTTATTGCTTTTCCACCTGATAGGCCAATTAGGATTATGAAGAATTTGCGTATTTGCGGCGATTGTCATACTGCTATCAAGTTTATGTCCAAGTGCTCAGGAAGAGTTATCATAGTGAGGGATAACAATAGGTTTCATAGGTTTGAGGATGGAAAATGTACGTGTGGAGATTATTGGTAAGTAAGATGTAACAAATTCATAAACTTTTAACCAAAAGATGGTCTGAGGCTGAATAGTCTAAAATTCCCCCAACAAAAAAATTCTTAAAGCTCCCCTTCAAGCTCTGGCTGCTGGTTGATCATAAAGCGTGCATCAGCAGACCTCCAGTCAATCTTTCCGTTGATTGTTAGGGACTAGAGCCTATTTCTTTCATTGGATACAGCAAGAGCTAGTGAGCCATTTTTTCCTGTACCATTTTTTATTTTCTCCTTTTTCGGTCCTGAGCACTTGTACATCCATAGATTCAATTTACAGATCATCTATCAAATCTTACGGATTCACGCTACGCAGGTTTCGAGTTCTTTTTTTTATGTTGTTGCCAAAATATGTCTAGATTCTTTTATAATCTATATTGTTATGCTTGTTGGATGAAGAAGAGATAAGCCACAGCCAAGTCACCGTGCCAAATAGCACAGCCTAATTATTAAATGAAACTTTTAACTCCATGGAACAAAATGCAACTCAAACCACATGTCAAAGGCAAAGATTCAAGTACAATACTAATACAAAAGGCTTATGAGGAGATGGAATGAGCAAACAAGGCTTCTGGTATAGCCGATTATCGGCACCACCAAGCCCCTTCCCCACGATGGAAGGCTAAACTCCCATATTATCTGTGTATATATAAATATGTATTTTCCATGTGGCTAAAATTATCAAATTAGTGTCATGTAAGTTAAAAAATGTTTGAACTAAAGGAAAGCCTCAACAGAAGGCAGCAAAAACGTTGGATTGGACATTGGCATTGCCATTGGACAAATCGACTTTTACAGAGTGAGTCAAATCATATGGGCTTTTGAGTCCTACAATTATGCTACGACCCTTTATTTTTCTTTGTTTTGTAGTTGTTTACGTTAAACGTGTATATACCATGTAGATTGCCATTGTCTGAGGTTAAATTATTATAATATATCAGGGTTGGGTTCTGTCTGAATTTTATGAACTGAGGGAGGTTCATTCGGTGTCTGCTTACATGGTGTCAGCAGGTTAGTTTAGCACTCCAAATCACCTCTTCTGGAGGACAAGATTTATTTTATTTTTGCCCTTAAGCGTACTCTTTTCGTTTGATGATTTGGGTCCTCATTGTTACAGTTTTTTATTGATCATTTTAGTAATAAAAACCAAAAAATATACAATCTTTAGATAGCTGTTGTCAATTCTTAAGGGTTGTTCCTGTTTTCTTTTTTGGTTTTCGTTTCAAATTGACTTTTTCTTGAAGTTGGGTTTCCTTATTTCTTGAATGTTTATCCATTTGAAGCATTTCTTGTTTCTGGAATGGTAGTGATCAGAATTAGTTTTGAATATAGAGATTTTCTCTTTCATAGCACTGTTTATTGTTTGTTGCCTTGCTGATTTGCTCCATGAGAAAGGCCTTGCTCTCTTGAATTTGTGAAAGAATATGGGCAATATGCCCCTCTTTGTTTTCTTCAAGGACATAAGGTAACTATTTGTTTCCCTAAGTGGCCTCTTTTAGCTTATTTCTATTGTCATCATTATCGTTGTTGTATTAAATTCAATAGCTTTGTATTCTAGTACTTGGACACATAGTTAATCTGATTAAAGGTTCAAACGTCTAATTAAATCTCGTTTCTTTTTTCTTTTTGTTGGTTCTATTTGTTAGGATTTTAGTGGCAAGTTTATGATTTCTAATTGCAGTTTTTTGCGTGTTATTGCCAGAAATGTTTTCAAAGCGGATGAGCTAGGCCTGGAAATAGTGCATATAGCCCTTCCTACACTGTTGGCGTTATTGGCAGACCCTGTTGCTTCTCTAGTTGATACAGCATTCGTTGGCCATATAGGTTTGTCATATAACAAAGATAATCTTCAGTCGAGGAAGCTGTGACTTCTTGAATTGTTTGTTTGGTGTTCACAAATGCATTTCCAATCTTTCTTTACATCTTGACCATTTTAGCGGAATCTTTTCTGGGAGATTAAAATGTAAATTTTTTCTCTAAAATCAAAATTTTAAAATGGGAAGCTTTTTGTTCATGTTGCAGCTTTTTTCTTTCTAAAGCAGAAAAATGTGAACTGCACAGAGCCTTTTTTCCAGGTTGTTTATAGGACAGTTACAAAGTTAATGTTATGAAGTGTCATGGAAGGAACAAAGTTAATTACTTGCAAAATCTTGGAAATAGTTATCTACTGGGTTGATTTTAGAATTGCAATATTTCATTGCTGGCCATTGAAACTGTTGCTTTGCAATGAACTACATGGATAAGTTCATCCATTTTATGTATCTATGTACGTATGATTAACTTCTGCTGCCATGTCCAGGTAGATGTGCCATTTAAATGCTGTTACAGTTTCCTTTATTATAGAAATAATACTAGTTATCAATAATTAAGCTCTTGTTACCCAATAATCCATATAGGTCCAGTGGAGCTCGCGGCTGTTGGAATTTCTATTGCTGTTTTCAATCAAGTATCAAAGATAGCAATTTTTCCTCTTGTCAGTATTACAACCTCTTTTGTTGCTGAAGAAGATGCTACTGAAGAACTGAGGGCAAATGAACAAGTTCATGAAAACGTTGAAAATGGTACTCCCATTAGCATGGAAATGGAGATGGAAGAACTCGTACCACTAGTTGGTATATTGCCTCCTTTACTCCCTTCTTAATGTGAGACTATGCTGAATATATGGATAAAGTTGCATATGTTCATAGGAGCTCCTCTATAATTTAATTCAACTATTTAGAATTATACTCACTTATTATATATTTTTGCTACAATTTTGAACTACACTCCACAGGAAAGTCATCATCTACGGAAATGGTCAAACTTGAGCATGTCCGAAGGCATATTCCATCTGCATCATCAGCATTGGTGGTTGGCAGTGTACTTGGGTTTATTCAAGCTGTATTCCTAATTTTTGCTGCAAAGCCTATCCTCAATTACATGGGTGTTGATTCTGTAAGTAATATTTTGAAATGCTGGAGTCTTTAGATATTTTGTTTTATCCTTTTTTTATTTTTGTTTTTTTTTTAATTCTTGTTATGGAGTACCTTGAATATTAGTCAAGTTGATCTCATATCTTTGTCATTAGCAACTTCAGTTTATTTGTGAGGGTTTCCTTATCGAACCCTTTTTGTTTCCATTTCTGCATCATACATTTAATAAGCTATGCTTTACTGTTTTAAACTTCAACCTCCAAATATATTGGGTCCGGTTTGCAAAAATGTCGAGCCGATGGGGTGTCTTTTCTGCTTACAAAAAGAAAAGAAAAGAAAAGGAGGGCGGGGGGTCTAGTTCTTACATACCTATCAGTAAAAAAATGTTTTTCCACGAGAAGTGTTTATGAAAATCAGGCAGGGATTAAGTTAGGTAGTATTAGTAGTGATGGAACAAACTTACGGAGCAATGTTGCATGATGGAAATTAAGATTGTTCTCTCTGCCTCATTTCTTCACAAGAGAGAGAGAGAGAGGTGTGGAAGATATCTCATATCTGAGACATACCATTTTTTTGCTGGGTATGTTTTGTGGGAACTTCCAGCAGTACTACTGAATCATTGTTTCTGCTCTTTTTATTAGATTCAGATGCTTACAAGGATAGATTTGATGTGTTGAAGTCAATCATTTTCTATATGTTTAATGAGTACTAAATTCTTGAGTTATCTGTATTCAGAATTTGAAGTAAAGCACATTCGGATTCCTTATTGTTGCAATGTTGTTCAGATGTACATAATTTCCTTGTTGAAGTTGTTCCGGTACTTCACATATATAAGTCCTGAATTTCTACAATTCTTATGTTGATGTTATATTTCTCACATAAGTTTGTTTTTCTATTCAAGAATGCACTTCGAGTTCATCTCTATTTGCTTTTTCTATTCAAGAATGCGCTTCGAGTTCATCTCTATTTGCCTTTTGGTTCTATATAAAATTACTGAAGTTTTAAGATATATCTTGGCATGTATAGCGAGTTCAATAATGACAGTTTCTTTTGTTTTCTTAATGCAGAATTCTCCTATGCTAAAACCAGCAAGACAATACTTAACATTGAGGTCACTTGGTGCTCCGGCTGTTCTTCTCTCTTTGGCTGTGCAAGGGGTTTTTCGTGGTTTTAAAGATACAAAAACTCCTTTATATGCTACAAGTAATCTAAGCCTTCTATCTTTCTTTTTAATTTCTTTATCCCTTTAGACTATTAGACAGTAATACGTTGTCAATGCACATACGAGCTGTTGGTCCGTCGCAAATCTCGCGGCCTGGTGCTCCGAGCCGAGGGGATGCGCGTCAACACGTGACGTCCTTCTTGTGGGTGCAATGCGGTTTGTGCGCGGGCGTGCCAGCACGGTCTACCGTGCGTCGAGATAGTGATGGGGTTTAGGTAGAAGATGTTCAAATGATGCGCCTATTTCGGGTTCGACTTCTAATCAAACGATTGTGGCCGAGAGAGGAACTGGTCTCGGCCGTCAGGTTCACGGCATGAGCTACAAGGCCGTTTAGTGGTGGTGTTGGTGGTGGGTTTTAGGCGGTGTTCCGGCGTGTTGCTCGGAGAGCGACGGTCGTATGATATATGGGGTGAATGAGACGATAACAGGGATGGTGCTCCGGCGCCTTGAAAATCAAGGGTCGTATGATATATTGATGAATGGATTTTCCTTACAATCTACCACTACTCCTAGGAAAGCATGTAAAGGTATTGAAAGTGCATTACAGGAAAAATAAGTTACTCCGTGGGAGGCTTTTGTTTGGTGCTGGACCCCTTGAACGTGGTCTTGAGCTTAGTATTTATAGGAGGAGTCCTGGAGGGCCAATCGAGGCGAAAA